GCTGTGGAGGCCAGCTAGTTTCTGTAGACGAGCTGTGGAGGCCAGCTAGTTTCTATAGACGAGCTGGTGGCCAGCTGGTCTCTTATAGTCGAGCTGGTCTCTTATAGACGAGCTGGTCTCTTATAGACGAGCTGGTCTTTATAGGCGATCTGGTTTTTAAAGACGATCTGGTCTTTGACCAGGGGGTCTCTATAGACGAGCTGGTCTTTGGCCAAGGGGTCTCTATAGACGAGTTGGGTTTTTATATATCATTCAAAGTCTCTTCATAGCTACTGTATAGACCCCCCTGCATAACATGTAAATTCCATTTTCTATCTTTTCACATTCCTAGTCCCTTAAAGAGGTCTCTATTATTTACCCTAAATATTTTTAGCATTTTGTGTAAAATAATATTAATTTAATGTAATTTTCATGGGAAATCTGCGTTATATGTCACACCTACCTATAACTCCTCCTCGCTTGCCACGTTAATCGTTGCATGCAACACAGCAATTGGCCAATAAGCGAATTTGCATATTTGCCTAATTTGTATTCACATTACATTCTGGTCAATTTTGCATGTTCCATTGAAATAACAATTACCAATCTGACATTTATTTATAAATTCCCATCGTAAACAATTAGCCAAAGGCGAAAAATATTTTGGAAATAATTCATGAAAATTCAATATTTATTTGTTACACCAAAAAACAAAGTTCCAAAATTCCATTAATTATATCATAGATAAGTTAACAGTTTCTGACAGGTCATCTTTGTTCCAGCAATGCATTTCAATCTCAAAATCAATTATGCACCCACCCCCTGAGGATAGTGACATGCAATTTGCGGTGACGCACATTCTCTGCTGCATTGTTTTACAAATTTTGATATTAATCGTATTATTATTAAATATGCAATAATGAAATGTTAATTAACATCAAATTTTAATTAATTCCATTGTTCGTAATCTCCATGCACAATACAACAATGGTGGGGTCACAAATCTGCGTCATTTTCATACAGTTAGATGGGATGGAAAATATATTTTCACTCTCAGCCATATGCCTACACAGGATATATTTTGTTTGATATGGTATGAAATTTTCCTCGTGAAAAAAGCAGATGCTGACTTAACGAAAACTTGGTCAGAAAAGGATACGAAATGTACAAAGAAGTACAGTATGGTACAGTATTGTTATTGAACGATCATCGAGATTTGACATTTGACATAAGGGGCACTCTTATGTAGGGAAAGGTCCCATTTTTGCAATTCGTACTTTAAGTGTACAAAAAGTTCAAAACGGTGCATATTCATCCAGAAATTGGTAAGAGTCAGGAACGTTAAAAATTTGGATCGAGGAGATATATTTTAAATATCGTACTTGAAAGGTACGAAAAGTACTAATATGACTCGATATTATACAACGGGGTTATCTAGCGACAGCTAAGATATTTTGACCCTCGTCACTCCTGTTTTAGGATGTTAATATAAAACGTTTTTTTTTCAGATCCTACTTTAAGTTACAAAAAGTACTACAATTATTAAAATAATACAAATATTTTATTAGGGTATTGTAACAGCTGGAAGTTTCAAATTTTGAATGGTTTAACGGGCTCGGATGGGACGGGATTTTCGTCAGCGAAAAGTCCACCTCGTGTTTCGCATTTTTAGTACTCAAAATGCATAATTCGTTCAGTTTGACTAAAGTTTTTATCAACATATCGTACAATGTTCTTAATTTTCAGACTCTCAAGGTTTTTTATATTATTCAAATCATTTTCTTTGCTCGGAAAGAATAATAGGAAAATGTTTGCCTTTTACTCAAAAAAAGTCTTCAAAATACCATTTTTCGGTCCAAAACTATTTCAACGTCTCCATATGTAAGCCCAAAAGATGAATAGTGACCTCAATATTAGATTTCAGGATTACAGCCCTATCCCTTCACTTTATACCCAAATTTTAGGATTCCAACCCTATCCCTTCACCTAATATTTGGTACTTTTCAAACAATTATAGTAGCCATTTTCAAAATAATTTCCATATCTCAAACTCAAATACCAACAGTGACCTTAATTTTAAATTTCAGGATTTCATCTCTGTAATTTCCCCCTTTGCCAACTTAGTCTATATAAACTCCCTGGAGGACAGGGAGTTTATATAGACAAGCTAGAAGCCAGATCGTCTCTATACACTCCCTGGAGGCCTGACCGTCTCTTTAGACTCCCTGGAGACCAATTGGTCTCTATAGACGAGTTGGAGGCCAGCTGGTTGCTATAGACGAGCTGGAGGCCAGCTGGTTGTTATAGAGGAGACAGAGGCCAGCTGGTCGCTATAAGGGAGCTGGAGGCTAGCTGGTCGCTATGTACGAGCTGGAGGACAGCTGGTCTCTATAGGCGAGCTAGAAGCCAGCTGGTCTCTATAGACACGCTGGAGGCCAGCTAGTCTCTATAGACACGCTGGAGGCCAGCTAGTCTCTATAGACAAGCTGGAGGCCAGCTAGTCTCTATAGACAAGCTGGAGGCCAGCTAGTCTCTATAGACAAGCTGGAGGCCAGCTAGTCTCTATAGACAAGCTGGAGGCCAGCTAGTCTCTATAGACAAGCTGGATGCCAGCTAGTCTCTATAGACAAGCTGGAGGCCAGCTAGTCTCTATAGACAAGCTGGAGGCCAGCTAGTCTCTATAGACAAGCTGGAGGCCAGCTAGTCTCTATAGACAAGCTGGAGGCCAGCTAGTCTCTATAGACAAGCTGGAGGCCAGCTAGTCTCTATAGACAAGCTGGAGGCCAGCTAGTCTCTATAGACAAGCTGGAGGCCAGCTAGCAAAATTATTTTATTATTTAAAGGAAGTGGAGCTGGAGGCCAGCTCATCTCTATAGACAAGCTGGAGGCCAGCTAGTCTCTATAGACGAGCTGGAGGACAGCTAGTCTCTATAGACGAGCTGGAGGACAGCTAGTCTCTATAGACGAGCTGGAGGACAGCTAGTCTCTATAGACGAGCTGGAGGACAGCTAGTCTCTATAGACGAGCTGGAGAACAGCTAGTCTCTATAGACGAGCTGGAGGACAGCTAGTCTCTATAGACGAGCTGGAGAACAGCTAGTCTCTATAGACGAGCTGGAGAACAGCTAGTCTCTATAGACGAGCTGGAGAACAGCTAGTCTCTATAGACGAGCTGGAGGCCAGCAAGCAAAATTATTTTATTATTTAAAGGAAGTGGAGCTGGAGGCCAGCTCATCTCTATAGACAAGCTGGAGGCCAGCTAGTCTCTATAGACGAGCTGGAGGACAGCTAGTCTCTATAGACGAGCTGGAGGACAGCTAGTCTCTATAGACGAGCTGGAGGACAGCTAGTCTCTATAGACGAGCTGGAGGACAGCTAGTCTCTATAGACGAGCTGGAGGACAGCTAGTCTCTATAGACGAGCTGGAGGACAGCTAGTCTCTATAGACGAGCTGGAGAACAGCTAGTCTCTATAGACGAGCTGGAGGACAGCTAGTCTCTATAGACGAGCTGGAGAACAGCTAGTCTCTATAGACGAGCTGGAGAACAGCTAGTCTCTATAGACGAGCTGGAGGACAGCTAGTCTCTATAGACAAGCTGGAGGCCAGCTAGTCTCTATAGACGAGCTGGAGAACAGCTAGTCTCTATAGACGAGCTGGAGGACAGCTAGTCTCTATAGACGAGCTGGAGAACAGCTAGTCTCTATAGACGAGCTGGAGGACAGCTAGTCTCTATAGACGAGCTGGAGAACAGCTAGTCTCTATAGACGAGCTGGAGAACAGCTAGTCTCTATAGACGAGCTGGAGAACAGCTAGTCTCTATAGACGAGCTGGAGAACAGCTAGTCTCTATAGACAAGCTGGAGGCCAGCTAGTCTCTATAGACAAGCTGGAGGCCAGCTAGCAAAATTATTTTATTATTTAAAGGAAGTGGAGCTGGAGGCCAGCTCATCTCTATAGACAAGCTGGAGGCCAGCTAGTCTCTATAGACGAGCTGGAGGACAGCTAGTCTCTATAGACGAGCTGGAGGACAGCTAGTCTCTATAGACGAGCTGGAGGACAGCTAGTCTCTATAGACGAGCTGGAGGACAGCTAGTCTCTATAGACGAGCTGGAGGACAGCTAGTCTCTATAGACGAGCTGGAGAACAGCTAGTCTCTATAGACGAGCTGGAGGACAGCTAGTCTCTATAGACGAGCTGGAGAACAGCTAGTCTCTATAGACGAGCTGGAGAACAGCTAGTCTCTATAGACGAGCTGGAGAACAGCTAGTCTCTATAGACGAGCTGGAGAACAGCTAGTCTCTATAGACGAGCTGGAGGCCAGCAAGCAAAATTATTTTATTATTTAAAGGAAGTGGAGCTGGAGGCCAGCTCGTCTATAGAGACTAGCTGGAGGCCAGCTAGTCTCGAAGAAATCTAAAATTTGATGCTATTTCCGAAATTTTTGCTTTCATTCAATAATTAAAAAAAAAAAAATGTAGAAATTACGGTGTTTGACTTTGTTGCAGTTTTTTTATCTCAGCTCGGTAACAGTGGACCGAGCAAAAATTGGTGGAGTCAAGAGTAAGCTAGTGTAAATTTATTGATATAAAAAATTGAAAATTTAGATAGTTATTTTAACTATAAAATCCTTTGTAAATTCCATTATAAATTAGTTTGCTGATCAGAGGCGATAAAATTGGTTTTGGGCAGAATAAATCTCAAAATTAAAACATTTTTATGTTTTCCACTTCCTTTGAAATAACAAATACAGATGCCAAACAAACTCCATGTTTATAGGCTAATGATGATATTGAATATTGAATTTTTATATAAATAATGTGTGGCTTAAAGCAAAGCTCACACAAAATAATAAGTCTATTATTAATCAAATACCACTAAATAAACAATACCCATGTGTATCTTTTTTGTTTGTCTTTTCAGTGACATAATATCATTTTTCAAAAAAAAATCTATTTTTTCATCAGCATTAACGGTCATTAATAATGCGGAGAATGATATTAATTTTATTTTTTCTTTTCTTACCTGTCAATAGTGTCCTAATAGCGGAGAATGGCTGATGAGGGAAAACGCCGAACACGCACACCTAAAAAAACACAAACACAGACGATACACAATCAGTCATAAATCATTAATAATCATGTCGATAAATTTAATAAATGTTTTCAAAATATTCAGGATAAAACATTTCCTTCATGAAAATGTGTCATTCAATTGCTTTTAAGTAATGAAAAACATGTGGTGTTATGGGAAGGGGGGAAATCGATGGAGGAAATTTTAGAAATCGCAAAGGGTGATCTTATTTTGGAATTTCATATACGATTTTATGCTATGTTTATTTTATGTTTTTTGAAAATAAAAGTTCCAAATATTCTTAACAATACATATGATTTTTAACATCGATATCCTTGAAAAAATATGAAATATTTTTATGAAATATGGAAATTTTTTATGAAATATTAAAAATTTTAAACTTTAATTTTTTTAATAATCTCTTTAAAAAGTATTAAAAAAGACATGCAATTTGAATAAATGTGGGAGAAGTCCTTACAAATCTTTTTTCCCAGGATATCTTGGAATCCTTGAAATCTTTTTTTCCAGGAAGTTCTCGAATACCATAAAACACACGATTTTTTTTATCAGAAGTCCTTTTAGAAATGTTCGATTAATTTTGGATTTTAGGCGTGATGTCTTTGAAAAATTCTTCATAAATGAATTTTTGACAGGATATCCAGTAAAATATTTTTATTTCAATCTAGACTTTTTTAACGGACTAAAATCATTTTTGGCTGTTAAATATTAGAATTATGGTTAATTTTTTGTTACTAAAAATTTGCTTAAAAATCGACGAAGGCCTCATAGTAATATTTTAAATGAATCTACGAACTATGTATAGCAGGGAAATCTTTAAAAATTCATAAAATAAATCCACGTTTCTAAGGACATCCTTGAACAAAAAATTAAAAATACAGGGTGAGATTAAAAAACTGTAACCAACTTCAGACTGCTGTAATTTCTAAGCCACTCGTCCGACAGCTGTTAAAATTATTCCAGTGACAGCTCATTATTTTGTTTACAAACGTACAAATGCATTTTGGTGAGAATTTTTCAGAAAAAAAGTTATTCGTGATGGAATTCAAGCGTGATGGTGTAATTTCTATACCACAATTGGTCGTTGGAGCACTCCAGCATTTAAATGTGAATATATCTTTTGTGTCTCGTACGTCAAGGAAGTGGACGGAAGACAACAGCAACATCAGCAGAAGTGGTTCGAAAAGTAAACCCACGTCGCAGTGGCCGAAAAATGGCTCGTGAGCTGAACATATCGCAATATCCCATTAGGCAAATATTGAAAAATGATCTCGGGGTAAAGCCATTGAAATTCGAAAAAGTGCAAGAACTTACACCTCAACAGAAAGTAAATAGACTCAAAAGAAATAAAGAGTTGCTTCGCTTCGCGAAAGTCGTAAACTGCTGAATTTGGTTTTCTCCGTCTCCGATGAGAAAACAATCGTTGTCCAGCAGTTTGTAAACAAATAAAGTGATCGTGTTTACATAACAAAGAGGCCAGCTGAAAATGTGCACATTCGGTTGGCCACCAGAACTCAAGCGCCGGCCATGGTGATGGTGTGGGCCACCATAACAGCCGAAGGTCGCTGTCCGTTCGTATTAATCGACCGTGGCATCCGAATAAATGCCGAATATTATCGCGAAAATATTCTGGAGGGTGTATTAAAGCCTTGGGCACGCAAACATTTTGGCCGCAGACCTTGGACATTCCAACAGGACTCACCATGCGCCACCCATGAATGGTTACAAAATGAGGTTCCTCGCTTCATTTCCAGCGCACAATGGTCACCAAAATCTCCGGATACCAATCCGTTGGACTATTGTGTTTGGAGTATTTTGGAATGCAAGGTTGGCATTAAAAAATCCCAATGTGTCGCGCTTCGGCGCTAATGGCCAAAATACCACCGAACAACATTCGGGCAGCGTGTGAGGGTTTCTATGGCCGTTTGAAGGCTATAATTCGTGCAAAGGTGACCAATTTGAACAAATCTAAACTTTTTCTAAAATTTGATGCTACTTCCGACATTTTTTGCTTTCACTCAATGAATTAAAAAAAATGTAAAAATTATGGCGTTTGACTTTTTTTGCAGTTTTTTTATCTCACCTTGTATTCTTTAAATCATGAATATTTCTCGGAAATTCCTTTATAACAATTCTTAAAAATTCGCTATTTTCGCCCAGGAGGTACTTTTAAACATATTCTGAAATATCAAAAAAATATCCTTCAACAAATTTCCTCAATCAGGAGTTCTTTAAAAAATTTCTAAAAAAAGGAGGAATTAATCCATTAATCAAGAACTAATCTTAACACCCTAGTTTTTTTGTCAATGTGTTCTTCTTAAAGTTTTTCTTTCTGATCGGAAAGTGTTTAAAACACCTAAATCTAAAAAAATCTCACAATTTTTGATCGGCAGATTTTTAAAAATATTGTTTACAATATTAAAAATTCTTGGTGTGGAGTCCCCTAAAAATTTCCTTTGGGAAATCTATGTTTAATCAGCGAGCATTTCAAAATATCATTACAAAAATGTAAGAGGTTTGTCCAGGAAATGTTTGTCCCAGAATTCATTAAAAAAATTCACGATTTATTCATTTTTTTATTGGAGATCCTCAAAAATATGTTTAAAAATGCACGATTTTATGACGTCCAGGAAGACCTTGAAAAATATTACGATTTTTGCTTAATGTCTTCAGCAAAATTTACTTTTTCCAAGGAGGCCCTAACAAACACATTCCAGAATATTCCTTCTTTTGTACAGGAAGATTTTGAATTTTTCTTAATATAAAGGCCATTAAGCTGGAAATAGTTTTCCTATGCCCTCATATGAGATTCAGTATTTTCCAAAATGTAGGCCCTTGTGGAGCAGTTAACGAAAATGAATTACATTATTTACTGCATTATATCACTTCATGACAATTTTGATTTTTTGTGGTTAGTTCCGAAAAAAAGGACCTGTGGAGGAGGTTCCAGAAGCAATGAACCGATATATTATATCTTGACTCTTGCTCTATTATAATGTGAAAATATTGGGTGCTATTCGGATACATTCTTTAAGAGTCATGGTGGTCGTTATCAGCCAGCCAGATATGCCTTATGTAACCCCCCATAGCCATATAATTAATCTCCACGAATAATCTCTATTGGCATTCCTATATGAGTATTCATTTAAATTTATGAATGTGTACCAAGATTTTACAATTTTCCAACGTTGCGATATTTTATCATAGAATTTCCATTTTCCTTCCTGTTCAATCGAATTTTCAATATCTGATGGAAAAAGTAATGGAACTTACACGCAATGAAAAAAATATTTCAATATTCCACACAAAACAGACACAAACACGCACACATAAATATTTTAAAGTTAGTGAATATTAAAATTCATGGAAATTAAGGAAATTGAAAATGTTTTATTTAGTTGAAAATAATTCCATTGTAATTTAAAACTAGGTCACAAGTCTGGCAAATGGAAGATTGTTTTTTTTTTTTTTTTTTTTTTTTTTTGGTCAAATTATATTGAAAACTTGTGGTTATGAATAGAGACTTCAACTTTAAAAACAAACAAGTTAAAAAGTATCAGTCGGTTTAGCCGACAGATGTATACCCTCAGCCAATTTTCGATTATTTTAATATATTTAGACTTCTGTTGCGATTATTTAAATTGTTAACCTTCTACTGTTGACCCTTTAGGGGCCACTTCATATCGGACCCAAATAAATATTATACAAATATTGCGACGTGTCAGATTTGAACTATATCGACTACTGCCTTCACTTTATATGAAATATTTGATAATTTTCAGAAAATGTTAAAATCTGGGTGATGTACCAGATATAGTCGACCGAAGCATTCCATTTTAATACTTCGTCCAATACAGATAAAAAATATTGGTATGATCAAAATTACAAGAGAATCGAACATTTCTACGCAATTTTTTGCAAAAAAACACAATTTCCATATTCATCTCAGATTTCCGATTGAGAGAAGTATTAAGATATATCAAGTTGTAAAGAATGGCTGACTTATTTCGCATGTTGTGACAAAATTATTGAAATTGGGACCATTTGTGGCTGAGATGAAAAAAACTGCAAACAAATTCAGACTGATGTCATTTTTAAGCCACTCGTCCGACAGCTGTTAAATTTTTTCCAGTGACAGCTCATTATATTGTTTACAAGCGTACAAAAGGATTTTGGTGAGAATTTCCCAGAAAATAGTTATTCGTGATGGAATTCAAGCGTGATAGTGTGATTTCTTTATATTTGGCTGGAGAACCATCTGTGGCTATCGTTAGAGCACTCCAGCATTTAAATGTGAATAAATCTTTTGTGTATCGTACCATCGCTCGTTACCGATTACGTGATACTGGTAGCGTAGCCTGACGTGGACGTCAAGGAAGTGGACGGAAGAAAACAGCAACATCAGCAGTAATGGTTCGAAAACTAAGAAGACTTGATCGAAACCCGCGTCCCAGTGGACGAAAAATAGCTTGTGAGCCGAATATATCGCAATATTCAATTCGGCAAATTTTGAAAAACGAGCTCGGCGTAAAACCATTGAAATTCCAAACAGAGCAAGAACTTACACCGCAACAGAAAAAACTAGACTCGAAAGAGCTAAAGAGTTGCTTCGCTTGGCCGAAAGTGGCGAACTGCCGAGTTTGGTTTTCTCCGTCTCCGATGAGAAAACATTCGTTGTCCAGCAGTTTGTAAACAAACAAAATGATCGAGTTTACTTGCCAAAGAGGTCAGCTGAAAATGTGCACCTTCGGTTGGCCACCAGAACTCAAGCGCTGGCCATGGTGATGGTGTGGGCCGTCATAACAGCCGATGGTTGGTCTCTGCTTGTTTTATTCGACCGTGGAATCAGAAAAAATGCCGAATTTCATTGGCCGTTTGAAGGCGATAATTCATGACCAAGGTAACCAATTCGAACAAATCTAAACTTATTCTAAACTTTGATGCTCTCACTCTATATCTCATATCAAGTGATATTGTCCAAATATGGCACGTTGT